TAACTACAGTGTTGGTTAGGCAAGACGGAGAAGTGAGGAGCGGGGGAGCGGGTGCGCGGACATTTCGTTCGCGGACGAGAAGTGAGGAGCAGGGAGAAGAGCGGAGCAGGAGAGAGGAGAGGAGAGGAGAGGAGAGGGAGAGAGAGGAGAGAGGAGAGAGAGGAGAGAGGAGAGGGGAGAGGAGAGGGGAGGGGGTGCGCGGAGATTCCGTGCCCGGAGAAGTGAGGAGCAGCGGGAAGAGCGGATCGGGCAGCGGGACAAGAGCAGGAAAGGGGAGCAGAGAAGAGTGCGCGGAGATTCCGTGCGAATGAACTAGCTACAACACGCAGCAGCAAGCGGACTCTTTCTTTGCCTTGAAAATTACGTTTTCAGACATAGGATATCGCTTTCGTGTCCTGAAAAACGTTTGTCTAGCTCTTGGAAATAAAGTACGTTTTCATAATAAGCAGAAGTTTCCTGTCCAGGAGTAATTTGGCGACCAGTGCGTCAGTCTTTAGACCCTGCGTCTGCTTCAGTCGCGCCATCGCTGGAATGAATCTTCAAGAATCACCTTAGTTTGGCTTCGCTGCTTTTCCCCTTGTCTTCTTCTTTCAGCGACCTCAAAAACTGACTTTCTTTTGCGGCGAACTGCTCCTGGATTCTTGTCGCCATTGCAACAAAACTTTGTGCTAACTGCGAGGAAGATATAGGTCAAAAAAAGCCGCTAAGAACTGTTGCGTTGGTGGAGTAAACAGCATCTGTGCGTCTTGCGTCTGTGGACTGCGTGACAGGTGTAACGTAAACCACGTACCGGCGGCGCAGGCAAGTCAGTTACGCTAGAAACGTAGGGAGTTTGATTGACAGCCTGTCAGCTCACAGATAACGAGGCAGTGTCGTTATCTATTGGCAAATGTTTAGCCCCACCACGTCCAGAGTTGATGAATTTGTATTCTCTTTTTTTTGGTCATCATAATTACAAGGCTACTGCACCTCTATAATGCTATCATTGACAACTTGAAACAAAAAAAAACAAAAAAAATCCTCCATACAACCTTTAATGTTTGAAATTTGCTCTTCATTTTATGTTATGTTACAACCTTAGGGAGGGTAACACCCGTTAAATCAAGTATTTATTCAATACTGACCTCACCACAACACCGACTACCAAACCCCCAAGGCAGTGATACGGACACGGTAAAGTACTGCAGTGATACGAGTGATTGAAATGGTCTTTTAAACCACCAAAGTCCAAACAGAATGAAAACAGTTCATATTTACATGTCACAGTGGGCGCAGACAGCTTGGATTATGACTCTGGATCCTTGCTTGGTCGACTTTTTCCGCCACTGTGGTCCGAGTCGCGCCGTCCCAGGAAAAGAGCCGTGTCACGTGGGTCACTAGGCAACTTCCTCGGAAAACCGAATTCGGAAGGATAATCAAAGGCTGAGTGAGTAAAGAGCAGTGGGCGGGGTGGGAAAAAGCTAGACTTTTCAGAGCAATGGCATCTTGAATTCAGGAGACTAAAGATTACTCAAACATGAATCACTCTAAATCCAACTTTAAATTGGTTAATAGAACTTTTATAGTGATTGGGGATGTAACAGAGCGCACAGTACAACTCTTACAATACAATACACATTCTATCAATCAATCAATCAAACTTTATTTATAAAGCACTTTTCATACAAAAATGTAACACAAAGTGCTTTACACAGATTAAAAACAATCCCACATTTCCACCCACCCACCCACCAACCCAACCCCACAACTGCCCAACTCGACACAACCAAACATCACAGACACCCAAACCCCCCCCCCCCCCACACACACATACCCACCCCCTGCTAAAATACATAAAACGACACATAGTAAAATGTGAGGCTGAATACAGGCGAACCAGTTGAGAAAGCATCATCAGAGGAGCCGTCTACATCAGGAGCAGAGAGACGTCCACCACCACCAGGAACCACCACAGGAGCCAGGGGAGAGATGAAGCCCAAGCACCAACTCTCCACCAGGAGCCCACGGGACAGAACCCGACAGCTACAGCCGACCTCTGCTCCTGATGCAGAGGCTCCTACAGAGGAAACACTGCATATCCTAAAAATAAGTCTAAAATAAATAAATATAAATTAAAATGTGTATAGTAGAAACAAGTAAAAAATATGATATTTCATTCAAAAGCTAAGCTAAAAAGGTGGGTCTTGAGCCTACTCTTAAAAACATGAACGTTCTCTGCAGCCCTGAGCTCCTCCGGCTGCAGTTCCATAGACGAGGGCCACAGGACTGAAAAGACGCCTCCTCTCCGTGAGTGTGTGTCCTGACTTTGGGAATGAGCAGGAGCCTGCTGCCGGAGGAGCACAGGGTCCGCGAGGGTTCGTAAGGTAAAAGGAGTTCTGAAAGATAAGAGGGCCCAAGACCATTAAGACATTTAAAAACCAGTAAAAGAACTTTAAAATTGATCCTGAAACTCACAGGGAGCCAATGCAGTGATTTTAAAACCGGTGTAATGTGGTCCCGCCCTCTGGTCCTCGTCACGGTCTATACATGTATGTCATGACTCCAGTAAGTTAATCATTCCAAATTTTTAAAAATATGTAAGAAAACAGCACCATAAACACCTAACTCTGTTATAATTGACACGGCAGAGATCAAATAGTGCAATACACTGGAAAAAAAACATTATCTAAGTAAGTTAGAATGACTTAAAATAAGAACATTTTACTTTATTTGAGTCGATTCAACTTGACAAGTAAAATTATCTACTAATAGAATAAGTGTGTTTTTCTTAATTCAAGCAACATTAGATTTTTTTCCCTTATTTTAAGTGCAAAGAGTTACTGTTTTTCTTATTTTAAGTGTAGCAGGATGCATTTTCATATTTTAAGTACAAAAAGTCTTATTCCATTGGTAGATATTTTTACTTGTCAAGTGAAATGTACTCAAATCATGATAAAACTTTCTTCATTTAAGTCAATTTAACTTGAGTAGATGTTGTTTTTGCAGTGTAGAATAACAAATGTTATGTTTTCATCTTGGTCACAACCATAAAAATAAAGAGAAAATTAGGTAAAATAATCTGTCTGACCTAAAATGTATCAAGATACAAATCAATCGTGAGTAACTGAATCATTACACTTCTTGTTGTGAATAATTCATGATTTGGACTCTGGCTTTTCAGAGTCTTTTAACAGGAGAGATAATCACTCATATTAATACTGGTATTTGTTTTTCATTTGTTTTCTTTAGCAACTAGAACCAACATCTCGGCAGGTGCAAAAAACTAAATATACATACAACCCGACCATAACACAGTCCTCAACCCCACCTAGAATCACAGATATGACATGTTTTGACATCTCCAGTATAATGTAAACTATCATAACCACACACACACACACACACACGCACACACACACACACACACACACACACACACACACACACACACACACACACACACACACACACACACACACACACACACACACACGCACACACACACACACACACACACACACACACACACACACACACACACACACACACACACACACACACACACACACACACACACACACACACACACACACACACACACACACACACACACACACAGACACACACACACACACACACACACACACACGCACACACACACACACACACACAGACACACACACACACACACACACACACACACACACACACACACACACACACACACACACACACACACACACACACACACACACACACACACACACACACACACACACACACACACACACACACACACACACACACACACACACACACACACACACACACACACACACACACACACACAGACACACACACACACGACACACACACACACACACACACACGACACACACACACACACACACACACACACACACACACACACACACACACACACACACACACACACACACACACACACACACACACACACACAGACACACACACACACACACACACACACACACACACACACAGACACACACACACACACACACACACACACACACACACAGACACACACACACACACACACACACACACACACACACACACACACAGACACACACACACACACACAGACACACACACACACACACACACACACACACAGACACACACACACACACACAGACACACACACACACACACACACACACACACACACACACACACACACACACACACACACACACACACACACACACAGACACACACACACACACACACAGACACACACACACACACACACACACACACACACACACACACACACACACACACACACACACACACACACACACACAGACACACACACACACACAGACACACACACACACACACACACACACACACACACACACACACACACACACACACACACACACACACACACACACAGACACACACACACACACACACACACACACACACACACACACACACACACACACACATACTGGTTTATACTACATGGTGGGGACACATGACAGAGTGCTGCCTGGTGGGAACACGTCTTTCTGAGTGGTTTACAGAAAAGGGCCAAACAGATCCACGCTCCATGTACGGCCCTTATCACAGCCATCACTTGAAAACTTGACTCTGACCCTCGGAAGACTGACCTGACATTTCACAGACCGCCGGGGACCTGTCAGGTACAGGACCCTCATGGGGACCTGTGACGTCATTCATTTGCATATTCAAAACATGACGTCATCGTGTGTTTTAGAGGCGACCGGTGGGGACCGAGGATGTAAAACTCATTATTCAGACGTCTTTTTTGATATTTGACTTATTTGGGCGACTTATGAGCAGCAAAACACCTGAAAACATTCACATGAATAACTCAGATCAAATGTCAAAGGTCACACAGGCATCAAAAACACAGTCTGGTCAAAGTCGTCTGGACGACTTGGTTTGTGAAATAACTCTTCTGATTAATCTCTGAATAGCCAAATGACAAAAGCATCTGCTGGTTCAAATCTTTGCAATCTTTTTATTGCAAACATGAACAGTAAAGAATTGGCTGGATCACATCCATGAAAACATGTCAAATGTTTTTCATAAAGTACAGCTAACAAACATAAAATAATACTTGTATATGTTTGAACAAGTACGAGTATTGTCCACATTCTCCATTAAGGCATTTATCAAATAAACAAAAGGATTGATATAGAACTTCTTTAGTAACTCTTCCTTTTTGTGAATAAATAAAATCAAAAGTATTACTCACAGTGTCTCCAGTACACTGTGTATTAATCTGAAAACCCAAAGTATAAACATAAAGCTCAGAGTAATACAGGTGATTTTGTAAAGTCAGTCTAAACAAAAGCTCTGATGAAAGTATAAGAAGATAAAGTGAACAAGTGCAAAGTGTCTGTGTGTTTGACATGAAAGACAGAACTGGCAAGAACCAAACATTTTCAGTATTAACATATTCCCTAATTTATGGTAGGGTTAAAAGCCAGAACAAACCAAACAAATGCTCTGAGATAAAAAGATGGACTGGAGAGAATAAGTGTGAACAGTGTTTGGTACATTTCAGGTCAGTTCTATCCTCCATTTTGGAGAATAGAACTGACCTGAAGTTGCATGATCTTTTCAGAGTCATCGTCTTTTCTCACACTCCCTCCGGTGTGCTGTTATTCGGTTCTTGATGTAAAACTTAACAGATTCCCAGGTTCTATGTTTAAAAATTTCCGGCGCTGACCTGATGCAGTCTTCACATTGTCTTTTTCCTGGTACCCGTCCAGATGTGATGTGGTCCAAGAGCTTGTTTTCAACCAGCTTCACCTCCTCTTCTGTCCATTTTCTTTTGGGGCATTTTCTTGACACACCTGGAAATGAAAATAATTTGACCACAAGTTTCCAAACAGGCCTGACTCTAAAAAGCTGTGTAGAGTTTAGAGATTATATGTAGAGGAAATTTAGAAATGCATGGAGACAGATTGTTCAGAAACTTTGTGAAGCAGAACAGAAAATATGTGAGCAGCAGCGGCTCAGGAGGGAAAGGATTTGCCCAGTGAGCAGAATGTTGCTTCTTCGATTCTGGCTCCTCCTGAACCTTTGCTGCACTGTCCTTGAGCAAGACACTAAATGTCAAACTTGCAGGGTGGCACCTTTCCTGACACTTCAGTGTGAGTGTGTGAATATCTGGCACTGATACATAAATGACTTTGAGAGCCTTAATGAGTAGAAAAGTGTTGCATAAATGTACCATTTAGCAGCACAGTTCAGACTCTTTACCTGAGTTTGAAGGAGTCTCTCTCTCCTTTGTAGACTCCCAACCACACAAAGGTTCTCCTGGAAGACAAAGCAAATAAACATCAACATGTTTGGCAAAGTGGCAAAAGTGATGAAAAACCAAGCATGCACTGTATAATCTAACATTGTATATTCAGAGCTTTATGTGAGCAGAGCCTTCAGCCACATTGAGTTACTTGACAGATGAAGAAGAAAAGGCAACTTTAAATTACACTCTGATGATCAGGTAATTCATTCTCAGTCGATAGGTTTGACTCTACCTGTAGAAGCTGAGGGGGAGTGACGTCGCTTCTTTGGATGTTTCCTCCCACTCTTCCTTGAAGACTTGCTGCCAGTTGAGGGTTCCTCTGAACAGACAAACAGAATCATGACCTTTGACCCACCTCAGCTGGACTAAACCCAAATCAGATCAACTGGGCCACACTTAAAGGACAGAATTAGTTTGAAAAACAAAACTAAAAGTTTATCTGAAGTGTGTCTGGAGGCTGTAGACAATGTGGCACAAAAAGTTGTTACCTGAAGAAGTTGAGGGGGAGCGAAGTCGCTTCTTTGGATGTTTCCTCTCACCCTTCCTTGAAGATTTGCTGCCAGTTGAGGGTTCATCTGAAAGACAGAAAATAAAGACTTGACCTGTAGACCAAAACTAAAAGCAAGATGTTATGAGCTCATACAAATATGAAAGAGGACATATGCAAAATCAACTTTTAGTATCTTTTAACCATGTTACATCACTGTCCCCCATTGTTGTTTCTGCATTTTCTAACAGGAAGTCAAGGGCCCTGTGTCTTTTTCCAGTTGTTTTAGTCCTATTTCACATTTTATGTATGAACAAAAACTAAAACAATTATTTTCTTGTGTCCTAGTCTGATGCAAAGAAATAAAAAGCATCATAAGTCCTTTTTAAAATTTACAGATATCACATTATTCTTTATTACCCCTTCTACCCCCCCGACCACACATACAATTAGAATTTCTTAACAAGCAGTCATGTACCTGTAGGTGTTGTAGAAGACTCGCATTGCGTCTTCGGTTGTGACATTTCACTCTCACTCCCCTCATCCTCACTGTCAGACACTTCACTATCTACATGCACTCTCTCTGCAATATGAAGAAAAACATTTGTTTCAATGCCCCATATAAAGTCTGACAAAAGATTTCCTTGTAATGCGTTCTTACCATAAGGTTCAAGGTTGATCTCATCGAGATTTTTACCCTTGAACTCTGACACTCTTCCCTGTTCAAGGGCCATCAGCACTTTGCTGATTTTTGCAAGTTGTAACGTTCCTTCAGGTAAGCGATAAAACTTTCTATGAACTCTGATATCGTGTCCCAAAAAATCAGCTAACTGGTCCATCTCTGTGTCCGTTAGATTTAGTACTTTAGATAGAGTTGCTACATGCTTGCGCAGTTTTGTGGATGACAAAGACTTTGGCTGTTTGGCTCCACACTGGTGGGCAATATTTCTGATACAATCCGTACCTTTGTAAAATGATGCCTCTGTCGCAGGCTTGGCAAAAAAAAAAAGATTGTCATCCAGTACACCACATGTTTGACGATTCTGTACAAGTAGCTCCATGGAGTCCAACATACTTGGGGTCAGGAGTATCGGCACTTTTCTGTCTCGTTTGCCGCGAATTTCGATGCGCTGGAAATGTCGACAGAGCTTCTTCTCAACTTCAGATAAAGCATCAGCAACATCTAAATGCAGATCAGTGGTGTTTCGAAGAAGATATGAATTCAACTTCATTTTCGATACTTCTCCTGCCCTCCGACGATTGAACAGAATTATTTCACAAAGAGTTACTTGTGCAAGATTTGCCCAGTTCTTCTGACTTTTATCAGCTTTGAGCTTTTCTTGGTACCGTTTAGTTTTACTGTTGAGATGCATGTGCATTTTTTTGACATCGTCAGTAAAAGGCAGAAGTTCTGGAGCATTCCACTTTGCTTCATTAAGCGTTTTCATGGCTGAAGCTGACACACATTCATTCCATTTTGTGGTATACATTTGTTTGAACCTTTTCACATTTCTCACATCATTTTCCTCTCCTGCTATCATTGCTTCACATTCTGCAATATCTGCCATTTTTTTAAGGTTGTGCCCAAGTTTCAGTGCCAAAGATGGAACAGCAAAGACCTCATCTTGCTCTCGGAATCCCGCGGTATCTTTAACAGCCTGGATGACATGATAGAAGTTTGAGGGAAGAAAAAAGTCCTTGATACTCTGTAGCTTTCCCACCTTCCTAGCACACACCAACAGCCTTCCAGCCTCACGCATTTTAGTTCTGATGTATTCGTGTTTTGTTTTGTGTCATTGCCCATTTTGTTGCACAAGTGTTCTCCAAATCTGAT